GATGCTGGGAATAACCTGCAGCTTTGTGTAAAATAAAAATGTAAAACACGCAGACAGACTCAAACACAATATGTCACAAGAGTATAAAGACTGTAGATCATTACACGATTGGTAAGAGCAGGATTATCTGGTCACACTGGCTTTGTTATCAAGCCTAAGCTTGTAGAGAAAGACGCTGTTAAGGATGCAGCAAAGTGTCAAAAAAAATGACACAAACCAGGAAAACCAGGTTTTATTTCTAATGCTGAATAAAAAGCATTTAGAGTTTTCCTACAGATGCAAAAATGCCTTACAATCTCAATCAACAAATGAAAAGCTGGTATATAATAAACTTGTAATTTATTTATCTCACTATGTTACTTCATCACCTGATCTCATCACACAGATGATACGAATCATAAAAGAAAAAGTTTACTAAGGTTTTAAACACAGAAAAAAAAGAAAGTTATTAAGAAGAGAGTGTTCGATCAAGTGCAGAAAATAATGTTTGACTTTGAAATGTCAGATTAAAGTCTTACTCGCACTTACACTAAAGTGAAAATGACACCAACGCCCATAAACATCTGGGCTGTCTTTTCTCTGGAAAATCTAGCTCAGTGTTAAATATTACAGGTATTTCTTGGCCAAACTACTGATCAACACTGATGGAAATTTGGCACCAGGCTTGACGGAAGTGCTGCCTTTGTTAAACCTGCAGTGGTGAGACGGGTCTGCTGAGTCAGACCTTTTTAAGACAAAAATAAAAATAATATATATATGGTCCCAAAAAAAAAGCTGGTTCCTCTCTCTAGCCAAAACCTGTTAACAAAAATCTTATTTATGTAAAACTATAAGTGAAAAGTAGTAAAACACCGGAAAGTGAACCTTAAGGCTCTAGTTTAAGGTGTTTTCCTGCTTTTAGAAATAGAGTAAAGGTTTTTATTTTCACAAATCTCAGTAGTTTCAAATAAAGACTATTCCTTTAACTCTAAAAAAAAAATTAAATAAGTTCTGTCTTACCAGAGAATAAAAAACAAGCTCTAAAAATACACAAAATAAGGCTGTCTGTGCTGAACGCTAACCGAAGCTTTCAGTTCTCTGTTTCTAAACAGAGGCAAATGGGAGATGGTATCAGAAAAGGGGGTAGGTATAGAAATGCCCGTCCCTCATTGAACCATCTAGAAAGACACGATGGGGTCAAGTTTCGAGGAAAGCTCATTCCAGCGTAGCCAGGAAATAGAGAGACAGGAATGCAAAACGCTGTTGTTCATAAACCGCAGAATACAATAAGAAAAATAAACAAAATGCAAAAAACATCAGCTCACCTGGACTATGGGGGGTTTTTCAGTAAGAAACAGGTTAAGCGCACACAAAGCATACAATAGCATCCCAGTGGATATGCAAAGGAACTAACAAAAACTATGCCTGAGGGGACAGATCCTCATTTGAGAGTCAAAAACTTTGCTCTACTTTATTTTCTCCTCAGACTCGAGATGCTTCCTCATGGTCACCATGTATAAACACAGGAGTGAGATGAGTGGATGGGGACATTTCAATTGCAACCCCAGAAATCCTTTCATCTAAGCAGTCTGCTTTTTAGGGGGTTGGGGGAGTTCCTGTGTATGCGAGTCTGCCTCTTTTCTTTTCTACGCCATTCTTTTCTTTTCTTTTCAGATGCAGGTCTTAGGCTCTGTGGGTGACAAGACGCCAGACTCTCAAATCTGTTATGTTAATGAGGAAGAAACATGTTCATTGGAGAAGGGAAGAATTCATATAAATACAGAGCATGGAGTAAATATACGTTGCAGCTTGTCTGGACTGGAGCACAGGTCACTGAAACGTAAATCTAACATGGAGACATGGCAAACAATCCAGTTGTGTTATCTTTGCAGGAACATCACAGGGCGGTATGAAATATAAAGAGAGACAAAAAAACAGCAATGGGTGGAGGTGAAATAGGCCGACTGGAATAAAGAATGCAAAAAGGAGTGGGTTGAAGGTGGCAGCATGTGCGTCAGAGTGCAGACAGAGTTTGAGCTCTACGCAGAGACGCTGAATGGACCAGAGGTTGGCTCAGCCACAGGCACACAGCTGCCCACTGGCAGAATGGAGCTCTAATAGGACCTTTTGCTTGCAACACAAAGGCTTTGTGAATGTTAGCATCTTAAGCACACACTGCAGCGCAGAGCGATCCCCTTAGAAAAAAAACCCAACCCACCAGCCTAAGATTGCTGCCATAAATTATGCTTCCAGCATGTCCAAAACAGGCCCGCTGTCTAACAGCGCCAGAGCTGTTGTCGAGTACAAGTGCTGCACGCCAAAGCTGCACTTCATTAAAGTGACTGCCAGCCACTGTGAACAATGATTTGCCAGGGTATCTGGCCACTTTTGAGTACCGCCGCTCAAAAAAAAAACAAAAAAGCAAGAAGCAGTCTCTGTTAAATGGTTGATTGCATTTCCTTTACTAATTCAGTAATCAGATACTTCAAGGGCTGAGTGAGATTGTTCTTATTTTAGATTTCTCAGAAAAAACTGGGAAGACTGACATGAGTTGAAAAATCTTCATTCATTGAAATGTTAAGGTAAAACACTTTGCATATGATCAAAACTTTTTGCGCAGTGGTAAAAAAAACTAAATGTTGGACTGGGTTAAGGGGGGGTAATCATCAGACAAACTGCAGCAGCAGGTTTGCAGATTCATATGACACCAATTTATTGATTTGGAGGGCTTGTTCTCACCAAGCTGTGACCAGACACGAGATTCTCACAGTGTGATAATGTTGATTAAAAATGTCACAGTTCGACTCTTTTATGGTATGTAAGGATTTCAAAATGTGTAAAAATGGATTAAATGCCTTTATTTAAAGGAAACAACTTCTTTCTATAGATGCAAAACCATTAATGGTATAGTGGAGGTTTTTTTTATCCCAGGTGGATCATGAAAATAAGCGGTACTAATTGTCGATCATTCTGGTGATACGTTTACGTAAGGCCGTCCTACCTGCTCGACACTTTTTTCACTTACCGGTGTCGAGTCTGACATAGTGGAAAAATTGTAAATCTTCTTTTTGAAAGTAACCTTGTATGAGCGATGCAAACAGCAACTTTCTAAATAGAGTGTGCACAAGGAGAAATGGTGTCATGCACACTCTTGCACGCGTTTAAGGATTGTGATTAAAAGTCGAGATCAAAATTTTGTGAAAATCCTCCACTATACCTTTAAGATACGGATTATAATTGTTCAAAAAGCATACTCTACACAATATGATGTATATTATTTAAATATTACTGATTAACATTTTGTTTTTTTAGATTGTTTTTTTATCACATTTGTGTGTGTACGCTCTTTTTCCCAAAAAAAACAATGAAAACCACATTGATTTTTTGGAACTGGGAAACATTCAAGAACAAAAGGACAGTTCCTGTGTATAAGTTTTTTCTTTCAGGCAGTGCAAAGCAACAGGTGTTGAAAAGGAGGAACTGTTAAAGACAATTCTGTTACTTTAAAACTTTTTCTGCCATCTTATTAAAAGTACTTTAATACATAAGAGGTTTAACTTTTTTTTTTAACAACCTGGCCTTAACTGGAATCTGTGACTCCAGATTCCAGATGCAGTTTATTTTGGAAACCTCAGCAATGAGTAGCCATCAAAGTTGTTTTTTTTTTTCTTTTCAAAAAAATAAGAGCTCCTCTGAGCAAGTTTTCTTCAACATGAACTATTTCTGTTCGCTGTAAGGAACCCCTATCAACATCTGAAATGCAATTAGACACTAGAGCTGGCGTGAGATTTAATCTTCTGCCTTTCTGTGGTTAAGTGTCGACCTTAAACTTGTAGCCATATTTACTATTCATGAGGGCCATTTACAAGAGCAGGATCTTTGAAGGAGCCTGTACATTTCCTGTTTTGCAGACCAAATCTGTCCCTTGTCCTTGCATGTTATGGGCCAAGCACTGCTGGGAAGGAGGGGGGATTAAAAAGCATCCATCTAGGAATTTCAGATAATTGCAAAAAGGAAAAAAAAAAACGGTTCTCTGTGAAGGTGTGTTTTTGGTATCCACCATAGATCAACCAACAGTCATAAAATGTTAAGCAAAGCGAAACATAAGTTGGCATGCTTACTTCCTAAACTCAGGAACAATGAAACTAAGGGGAGACGAGCTACTGAATGGTTTCTGAGTGCCCTCATTTTGATTATGATCCGAGACTGCAATAAAGAGGCTGCAAAATGACCCTGGCGTAGGCGGCTTGTTCAGTATAGCTGCAGATGATTCATTCAATGTATGTTATTGTTTCTTGCTCCTAGTGGTTTGCTTTCATATGTAACAACATATGTTTAGGTTATATATATTCATATAGAAGTACAATCATAATAGAACAAAGCTGAATATTTGTAATTTGGCTGCAACTGCCTTCCCTTATCAAGAAGGGGAAAATAACAAAGCATATGTTTTGGCAAACTAACCTCAAAACACTCTTAGATTTAGTAATTTCTGATTCTTATTTGTAGAGGGGGAAAAAAAGAACTTGTACGTGTGGTGAAGATGGGGGAAGATATATGCAACAAGGCTTCATGAGGCAAAGCACTCAAGCCTTTCAGTTTCTTCTCATCTGTGGTGAGGAGCTGTTTGTCAATAAGCTGCTAAACAACCACACTGTAAATCCACACACAGGTATTATCTGCAGCTTCAGTGTCATGGCTGTCTCTGTCAAATAGAGGATAGTTTGATGTTAAAAGGTGCTTGTTTACTGCACACCAAAAGCTGTTTATTAAGCTTAACCAGCTTCAATTCACTTTATTTATTCCTGCATCTGATATCAAGCAGTTTTATGTTTCTCGTTTCATTATGTTCCAGTTAAATAATATTGATAAATAAATAAACAGAAGTTTTCTCTCTAGTCCCACTAGGTGTGCTGCTTATAGGGAAACCAGCATGAGGAGAGAAAACTTCATGCAGGTTTCAAAGCACAAACATCATTATACAGCTGTTTAAAACAACCATGGGTTTGAGCAAATACTACCTGGTCAGCAGAGGCTTTTTTGAAGCTATGTCATCTTCATTAAAAGTAGAGAGAAGGGAGATTTCTCCGCAGTTGCAGCCGTCGTAGGAGCGTCCTACTAGCAGGACTGAGAAGCAGTGAAAGCAGCAGAGCTGCTGCCTTCAGACTCCACCGGACTGAAGCAATATCCGCGTGCAAACCAAACAGCACCGCGGAGGGGGGCCGGAGGCAGCCCGGACAAAGAAAAACCTGAAATACAAAAACACAGGGAAGCAGCTGACACATAAATGATTGATTGAAAATAAGAACAGTATTTTGTTTTTAACTAAAAGGGCACGTTTTATTGATTAAAACATATTTTATAGCCCTCCTGCCCCTTTCCTATTGGTATGTTCCATTAAGCCGCAACTGTCTCCTCCCACTGGGTGCTGCTCGTGTGATTTTTACTATAAATTTTAGTCATGACGAGAAGAAAAAGCTTAGTTATGACAAGAAAGCAAAACTAGTCATCATTTTTTTTTTATTCAGCTGTTGTAATATAGAGAAAACGTCAGAACATGATAAGTTAATTGCAGAGGCGTAGCCAGAACATTTTTGTAAGGGTGGCCAGGCAATAACCAAAAGATAGGCACCAAAACCTCTGTTCCAACAGGGAAATTAATCAGCAAAACATCCATATTCTCTAAATAAAGACAAACTATAATTTCCCACTGCCTTTGCTAACAAATAGACAAATATATTCAAACATCAATGCTTTCTAGATAAAAGGTATAGTGGATAAAATTCTTTAAGGTTAGATTTTTGGGCAAACATCTTTTCCATAGTCATTACTTACCTACTTTTATCAGTAATCATTCGATAGATAAATAGGTATTTATCTATGATTTCACTGAAGACACCTAGAGACACTTAATTTTCTCTTTACCCCATAAAACACTAAATCTATTTCTGCTTGAATTCTGTACTTATCATCTTTAACGTTAGTATATTGATGTGCATAATTAACCATAGTGTTTTTGTTGTCTAGAAATTGTTAATATATGAAAAATTATCTGTATCAGAGGGAAATAAATGGTAGAGGTGGCCAATGATTGGCTAAGGGTGGCCATGGCCACCTCTGGCCCCCGATGTAACTCCGCCCCTGGTTAATTGCCCTTTATGTAGGCCGCAGACTGATAAGATTGCTGATTTAACATGTCAAATCTTTATGTGTTATTTCTTGTGTCAGATTCAAGTTATTTCTGTGACCATTGTGAGTTTTTTTTATTAACCGGGTGTACCATTAATTGTCTCCGTGTCTATATCATAGAGCAGATATTAATAGTTGTGCCTTAGTCTTTTAATCCTTAGGTGGATACAATATTGCATCTGATTATAGCTGCTTTGTCCATACCTTTGCGTAAAAAAAAAAAAAAAAGAGTAAAAATTCTGTAGAATTTATTATTCCAAAACGACAGGATTCTATGAGGGTTAGAAATACATGATATAAAATCAAGGATACCATGCACTGGTTAATTACTCTTATAGCAAAGAACATAATTCATTATTTAGTCTTTTGTTAACCTGAAGTCAAACCTGATCTGCTCTCAGCAGGCCCCTTAATTCTTTAACCATCCATGTTTTTGATGTCCTTTAGAGGTCTAGTAAAGACAAAACACAATGTATGCATGTGCATGTACAGTAGCTCAGTGTTATTTCTTTGTGAGCCAAAAAAGCAAACATAATGGGCCGGATTTATCAAAGGTTTGCGTGTATTAAAACGTGAGCTATTTCACTGCGCACGCTAAAAAATGTACAAACTGATCTATCAACAGCGTGCTAAAAGCATTTGGTCTTTAAAACGTGGTAAATAGCACCTCTGATCCATTTAGTACTTTTTCTGCAATGAATATGCAATATGGGGCGTTTACACGCAAAAGTGCGTCTTGTGGGAGGAGAACATGTAAATATATTAATTTAGCACTCGCAAATTGATTTATTAAACCTGAAAGCAATTTTGCTAACGGTATCTGACTCTATATTTAACACGTTCCAAAAGAAGGTGCAAATGGTCTGTATGCGTAATTGCGCACACATGGCAGCGGTTATAGTCGCAAGAAGGAGACATGGAAATAAAGCAAGGAGACGCCGAGAACGCATTTTTTCACTCCGTGTAAATATTTTTGGAATGAACGAGGAAACGATCATCAAAACATATAGTTTATCCAGCATTGCCATTTTGGAGCTGCTGGGGGAACTCCGAATGGATTTGGAGCCAGCCACATAGAGGACCCACGCAATACCAGATATCACAAAACTCCTTGCAACATTGCACTTTTTTGCATCTGGGTCATTCCAGCGTACGGTTGCAGCGTGAGCTGGGATCTCCCAATCTCGTTTTTTCAGAAGTGCTGTCCGACGGGGTCGGGGTTCTCCCCCTGCGCCTGTGGAGCAACGTACCAAATGCTGCGGGGATCTCATCCACAGTCACAGGCCAATACAAAACACCTGTTTTTTTTTTTTTTTTTTTTTTTTACTGCAGCACATACCACCTTAGGGAATAAAGGTTGGCAATTTATAAATATATATTTACTTATTTATTTTTTTTTTGTTGGGGGTCACTGTAAGATTTAAATTTCTTAATGCACTAGTTTGTACAGACTACAAACTACTTTGCCGCAAACCACAAAACGCGCAAAACCATCATTTAAATAGGGCGTCTCCAACAGTTTTGCACCTTCCACCAGTTACGCAATCACTCTTGTTAAATCACCCGCAAACCATGGTTCAGCCCCTCGCGCACAATTCCAGTTTGCGAGCGCAAATTACTGCACGCAAAATTGGATCTTGATAAATCCGGCCCAATGGTTCTTGTGGTCAGTTCAAATTTAACACATTCTGTTGTATTTTTTTTTTGTTCCTGTGTTGATGGTAACCAGAGGAAACTAAGTCATCAGTCTCAGTAATAGGCCCGTTTCACTTTATGTGCATGGTTAACACATACTTGTTACTAACAGCATTTGTCCTCAAATCGACCTGATAGCAACATCACCAGGAATCACATGGATGGTCCATAAGTCTGTGAGGTTCTTTGATTTTAGAGATTTTAATTAGATAATCAAAATGCAACAAATGTAACAGCTTTTGGTCTAATAAAGTTTTATGAAATAGTAACAGGTTCTACAGGCCCATGCATCTCACCTCCTTTAAGGGCCATTTTTAGGTTACCCGTCTGAGATTGATGAAAACATTTCTTTAATGAAACTTAAAAGAAATTTAAAAATAAATTCAACTATTAATAATAATAGCTTAACACACTGAAGTCACTGACATTTACTTCTGGTTTTTTCTATGTTGGCTTCAGCTCAGTTATTTCATATTTCTTTCTGCACATTTTTTAAGAAGTTCCTGATAACTCATGTTTTATTAATAATAGTTACTTTTGCTCACATTTACTGAGCAAAAGAAATGCTGGTACTAGAGGCAAACACTATAAGGACCCACTGTAATCAGGGTAGCGATTACCCAGAAAGGCAGTGTGTAAATGTTTCTCACCAACAGAACTCCAAATCCTGCTACGGAAAAGTTCACCGCTACATGCTGGAGCAATTCACTTCAGTCCACAAAAATCCTGTTAGCAGACCTTCAAACGTGTTTCCAGGGAGATGAGGTGAAAAATATAAATATTTGCAGGATCACACTTCAGAAGCTGAAACAAGAGCCCAGAATGCTGCTGGCAATACATCCAGTGGGTTGGGAAAAAAAAAAAAACTTTGCAAAATCTTTCTTTTGTAAGTGAATTTTATGAGTGAAGTGAAGTTTGTAAATGTATGTAATGAAACTCATTTATCATGGTGGATGTTTTGAAAAGGTCTGTTTTTTTTTCTGCAAGACGGTGTTTAAAAATTAACTCTTTATTAAATGTGTAAATGTAAAAATTTTTTTAAAAATGAATAGCTTTAAAAATCTATGTAAGCAGGACTGCTTATTTAACAGGATCTCATACCCACATCAATATACATTAATGGGATGACACCCACTGCAAAGATTAAAGCATTAAATACACTTTCACAAAATAAAACCTGTTTAAAACCAATAGAATACCTTTTAGTCAACTTTTTGTTTGTTGTAGTTTTTTTATTTGATGTAGAAAAAAAATCTACCAATCAAAAAGCTGCAACATGCACCTGCTTCTGATAACTTCACAAAAAGCATTAGGAAATCAAGATTTCTGGTTTTTATTATTCAAAAATTACCTGGGTAAAAGTTTGTAGGTATGACTTATAAAATATTTATAAAATGCATAACAGACATTCGTAAAATAGAAAAGAGAAGACAAGAATCATCAGGTTTATTATTAGAAATGTTTCTTCTATATTTCAAGGCAAAAACAGCTTGAGGTAATCAGTTTATTTTTAAATGATATGTCGCATTATCTTCAGAACTCGTATACCTTCTAATAATTCCTCTAAAAAATGATGCACAGGTGCACAGCCTTATGTATCCAGTCCAACCAGCTACCCCACATATATAACTGAACAGCAGTCCAGGCCATCAATCACTTAACAGTAGAGAAAATAAGAAAACTATCCCATTAGTCTGCAGACAGAAAAGTATGGACTCCAACGCACCAAGAAATCGCAGAAATATTGGTGGTATAACAAAGTGGCATCTATGGGCAACAAATATCCCTGGAAGCCAACCTAATTTGAAGAAAAAAAAAATCTCAACTTGTGTACGAATAACACTTAATATATTTAACAAAAACAACCTTTTTACAAGAAAAAAAAAGTTGAATATCACTGTGGGAAACATCATTCCAACATTAGTTTAAGTTTTCATGACATGTTGAGAGAAATGTGAAACACTACCTGCTGCATAATTACACATTAAAAACACTGAGCCTGCAGGAGGGGATGATTCCATTGAGCAGAAACTCCAAAACCCAACAAAAACATTTCACTTCATGGGAAAATCTCAGTGCTGTAAATGTGGGCACAACGTGCCTTAACCAGACAGGATACACAGTCTTGTAAATTTCCAGGCAGTAATTCTTGTAAATCTCGGATGTGTTTACTCAATAGTGTGTGTCGACGTGGACGGCTCCCATTGGGCCACTTGCCTGTGCAGCTTGCAATTAGCATCCAGAGCTTGGCAGATATTAATGATGCCATTTAGGAAGGAGGAGGGTAGCAAAGCTCCTCTCCCATAGAAGCCACAGCCTCCTGTTTATTCATGATGTTAGAAGTTGTTAATCATCATCCTCGGGACCCCCAGTGTTGCTGGTTTCCAGTTTAACCAATTAGATGGGCACCATTCTCTCCATTCTCACAATGGTTGGAGGCAAATTAAATTTATAACCTAGCGAGAGAGAATACTGGTCATCTCTGTGTTCGGATTCTCAAAGAAGTCGTTGCAAAGACATGTCAGGGATTACAGGATGATTTATGGAAGGAGGGAAAAAATGAATAGTTGAAGACTGGAAAAAACTAGATCTTGTTTCCTGTTTGGTTAAAAACAAAATTGAAGATAACAGTCATGAGTGCAATAAAACAAAAACTCATTTTATTAAACCAAAAACTGTTCTAATATTTACCATTCATTTGTTTTATTGCAACATACTGGGGTCAGGTCTTGTAGAACAGACTAATAAAATGTTCTGCATCAAATAGAAACAAAAATGTTGAAAAAAAAAAAAAAAAAAAAACTACTGCAAAAAAAGACAAACATTCACTTTTTGAAACCTCAACTGTGTACTTTCTTGAAGATAAGTGCTGCCACACTGTTGCCAGTTTTTCCTCCAAACTGGAAACTAGGGGTAGGCAACTCCTGTACAAATTCAAATCCTGTTAAAAAAAAAAAACACACACACAAAAAAACAGATTACTGCCAAGTTAGGAATATCCACCAAAACACAGGCAAAGGCTCATTTTGTTATGGACCATAACTAAGTAACTAAAAGGAGGTTCAGCCGGCAATAAAGTGAGACAACCATCCGTCCACCATCTGTGCTGCTTCCTGGGGTCTAGTAAAGGCAAGCTGTCAGTGTGAAAGATGAGTTTTCAAGGCTGTTTGGCCCCCTGCAGGCTCTCCAGAGCGACTGCAGACAGACGAGTGACAGCTAGTGGAAGCTTGCCTATACTCATACTGTACGGGCCGTTGTTCCCTGCTGCTTAACAACCTGTCAAGTAATTATTGAGACTGAAAATCTGTCTGAGAGTTTTTTTCTTTTCTTTTTGGTACAGAGAGTTAGACAACAGAACAGTTTGATATAAAGCTGCTGCATGCCAGAAAGACAGTTTAAAACCAAACTAAACACAAAAACACTGATGTAGTCAGAGAAAATAAGAAGTATACTATTGGGATTTGATTGATATGCAGTTTAGTTCTAAAAACATTGAGCTTAAGAAAAAAACACTAAATCTATTTTATAAATTCTACATCTACAGGGGTTTCTACAAGCATTACTAGGGTAAATTTAGAGGTAATCTCTACATTTTATAAAAAAAAAAAAAATTTCAAATGTATACATCCACAGAACATCTAGAGTGGTGTAGAGTAAAACAATAATTTTATATGAATTACATAAATGATTTTTTTTTTATCAATTTTAACCATAATATGTAAACATTCACTTATGGTTATGATGCCAATATCTACATAAAGGATTCTTGCACCAATAGGAATAGAAGTTTGAAGTCATGTGAGACGAAATTCAGATGTTGCCAGATCCTATTAGCTGTGAGAGCTCTGAGAAATAGCCTTTTCTTATTTTACAGATTAAACCAAATAATAAAAGCTAAACTAATGTGAACAGGGGTCAAGCTTCTGAGCATTGGTGCTGACTTAATAAAGAAAAGGTGCTCAGAGGCCACATGGAGGTTAAAACCTTGCTAATGCTAATCCAGATACCATCAGACCTGGCAACCGCCTGGAAGACATTACAGAACAAGAACGGTGAGCCCAGGGGCGCCACTTACAGGCAGGAAGAGGTTAGATTTATGGCTATCGCCTTTAATATTTTAAAAATTGATAGTAATACCTTCCTGCATTATGACAAACAACCTCAACCGCTGAAATAAAAATGTTAAGCTTGGTATATGCTGTTCCACTTGCTTTTCCATTGTTATAAAGCATCTATTGAAATGTATTCATACCCTTTGACTTTAATCATATTTGGAGGTTATAGGAAAGTAGTGCATAATTGTGAAATAAAATCTGAAATTATGTATTAGTTTCCCCAAAACGTAAAAAAAAAAAATAAAAATTCATACAAACCTGAAAAATGTGCATTTGTATTTAGCCTCCTTATTGTGATTCTCCTTAATAAAATCCAGGTAAACCCAACTTTGTCTAATTAGTAAACATGGTCGACTTGGGTGTAATTTAACCTTAGAGAACTATTCTATGAAGTGACAAGAAGAAAGCTATAATTCTAGTAAAACCATAAAAGGTCCAGATTGCAATCAGCCATGTAAGGAAAGTGAGAAACAAGGTCCTCTGGTCAGATGTTGAGGTCAACAGAACTTTATGGCCCAAATGCAAAATGCTGTGTGAAGCATGTGATTGGGATCAAACCAGCTCTACTGTGAAACATGGTGGTGACAGCATCATGCTCTGGGGTGCTTTACTTCAGAAACAGGAAAAGTAGATGGGAGCTAAATTTATTTAGACGACCCTAAATGTGCAGCACAGAGAAAAGAAAAAAAAATAATATCAAAATATACTTAGGTTTTAGAAAGTAACAAGTAAGGTTCTATTTTTATTAAAGATTTGTCTGGATGTTCAACTGATAGAGACATATTCTAGTTGGATCACAAATCTGTTTACATAGTGTTCACTCAGATTTAGAATAGTACATTACATGCTTTTCTGATTTTTATTTGTAAACAATCTAACTAGATAATATTTTCCTTCCACATCACATATTCTCCACTTCTCTGCGTTCGTCTATCACATTAAATTCATTAAAGTTTCCTAATGTAATGCACTAAAACGGTTGAAATGTTTTTTGTTTTTTTTTTTCCCCCAAAATACGCATCTCTTTACCAGCAAGAAATCTATAGAATACAAAAACTAAAATTTTATACATTATAATAAAACCTCCCATCAAAAATCCAAGAATAGTAAAAACACAATTTTTACTCATTCATATCCTCTTACCGTCAGAGAATCTCTCTAGCAACTGCTCTTTGGTCCAGTTACAGGAAGTGATAGCAAACATGCCATTGTCTTTAAGAGCTTCTTTTAGGGTGCGGACATACAGTTTTTTGCACTCCTTGTTGTTGTCCGGGTTTAAACTAATGGCATCGAATGTTCCTTTGTCAATGCAGAAATCAAAACCTCTGAGTTCTCCTGCAGAGCTCAGGAAATCAACCTCCTAAAAAAAAAGCAAAAGATCACAAGTTGAAGATGTGTCTATGATATAATAAAAAAAAAAAAAAAAAAAAAAAAAAAAAAAAAGGACCGCCTTAACTCTGAACTCTAAAGCTGCAAAACAAAGTCACGTTTCTGCTTCGTCTGCACAGGCTTCAGAACCAACACATCCACTACAGAAAGAGAGAAGCCTTTCTGTGGGCAGAGCATAAAATCCCAGACCTCCGGTGTGAATCCACCAGCCGCGTACTTATAAACACACAACCACAATATATGAGATTTATGAAGGAACATCAACAGTGGCTCACTAGGTTTAGATACCTAGAGATATTTTCACAGCTGTGTTTAAGCATGCAGAACACAAAATATTGAGAAGATGCTCAAACAGAGCATTACTACTGTAAACTGAGAGGGCCGTGAGGTTAATTTAGAACCATAACTGACCTATTTAAGACAAACATGCTCTGATTATTTTGGCAACTTTCAATGCTGCATAAATGAGAGATGCCAACATTCCTCTCTCACATGTTTGCACCACTATGCCTCCCCTATGCAGGCGGGGGTCAATATTGACTTTAAGGGAAACCCTTCTGCCCAGGCAGAGAGCACACCTTGATGGGTGTGTTCATGTAGAACATCGACGGAATATGAACATAACCTGCTCATGACACGCTTGATGGACCACCATGCATCTATAAACCATTTCTATTTGGGTTTAAGCAGACTTTTTTTATTTTTTTTTTGAAAAGGGATAACCATCCATTCTAATGCATTTTCTTTGGTTAACACAGCTAAGGTTTCTCAACCTTTTCATTAGAGCTGCACAGCCCTAAAACTCAGATCAGATACTGAATAACTAGCTGGTCCAAATATGGGATGAATGACGTCCATTCAGCTCTTCCACTTTTAATCTGGTTGTCAGTTTGTGCAAAAGAAGAACATGAGTACAGCACGACGCTGCCTACCACAGCTCACTGCAGAGAACATGTGCTTATGTTTGTCAGTGTTAGGTGTTTTTTTAATGGAAAGTAAAAAAAGATTCATTTTGACCTCATGTTATCAGAGCACATTCTTCCACATATTTGCTGTGACCCTAATAAACCATATAAAGTCCCATAGTAGCCCTACAGGACTTTATTTTCTCCACTTTTTCACTCCTATTTTGGAGTGCACAATCGAAAGCTGTCCTGCAGACAGATTCTCTTGCCTGAGCTGCAGATCTCCTCAGAGTTACAACAAAGAATCACCAAAATATTGCCTTGAATTAAATTTGGATGCAAAATTGTCGTCGGAACAAAGTGCAAATGCTAACAAAACCTTTCAGAGCAAAAACATGTATAAGGTGTAAGGATCACAAATGTGCCTTAAGGTCATTACACAGGGATTACACTCCTTTTTCTTATACTTAACAACTTGGGTGAGATATATCATTTTTGTACTATAACCCATATTCTGGGCAGAAAGTCCCCTTAAAATAATAAATACTAGGGGTGGAGAAAAAAATCTATTTGAGCTCAAATCGCTTTTCTAACATTTAAAGATTCAGAATCGATTCTCATTTTCTTTAAAAACTATTTTTTTTTGTGGTTGCGATGTGCTTTATCAGGCACCGTAGTTTGGCGAAACCAATGAGCAGCTGTGAGCTATGCACAGGCATGCAAGCGTTAGCCTAACAGGCTACAGAGTGGTGTGTAGTGTTGTGTGAGCTACTGTGTTTGTTGCTGCTAAAGTATGGAGTATCGTAGGAATCCCAAAGATTCACAGCCCTAATAAATACCACTATCATCAGTGCACAACTGTGTTCAAAGTCATTCCTCCGCACAATCTTTCCAGCTCTTCTGAATAGTCTGGTCACAGCTGGCTAACTCTCCTTCTGGATGACCTAAACAGACACTTTTTCTTTCACTTCAAGCAGAACACATATATATATTTTCTTCCACTTTAATCTGTTCCTCCAAACCTTCTTGCCGGCAGACCAAACCTCGGCTCATTTAACTCTCTGGCGGATGCTGCTGATTTTTCTTTACTCTGCTTTTTTTTTTTATGCTGGTGTAACTAGGTTTCCTAATGACAGCTTTAAGATAAAGCTGTTTGAAACATCCCTCATCAGCAAGCTAACCTTAATAATCTAGGTCAAGATCTTTGTGTGGGGATTTTTTTAGCCATCTTCACCGTTTACTGACACAAAACCAGTAGTTTGATCTCATCCCACCATATATCTGGGAGCCTTTTCTGGTCATTTATGATGTTTTGTGTGTGCGTAAAAACACAATAGGTCATTTAAACTCTAGGACTTTCTGAGGTAAGCATGGTAAAAGTTAAAGCAGCAAAGTAAAATTCGACTTTTATGTCCATGTTTACATTTTTTTTTTTAAATGACGGATGCCTGCAGATCTATAGATTTAAAAAACAAGCTCACCTTCACAGTGACATCAGTCAAGCCCTCTGCCTGCAGGATGTTTCTGGCCAGTTCTATTGATGCGGGGGAATAATCTACACCTGTAAGGTTCTTGTATCCATGCTTCGCCTAAGAAAAAACAAAACATGCAAATTAAGATTAAAGGTAATCTATGAAATAAAAAAGTGCATGGCTTACTCAATTCTTTTGTATTAAAATTGGTGTATTCTGTTTTGCTGTATTATTATCCTAACCAAAAAAAAAACATAATTCAGATGCATTACAACAACATGGTAGACATAAATTGCTCTTAGACACTTTTATCCTTTTAAAACCATAGTACTCTTTTTTTCTTTTACACGCATGTTGTATTTTGATGCAGAATGTGTAAAATATATTACCACCATTCACAGTGGTTTTGTTAGAGGAAAAGTTTTCATATCAAAATGAACCATCAACACTTAAAACTATGTCTCTCTGTAAATTGAAAAAGTTGCATTTTATTTGAATTTGACTTTGCTCACACCAGTTCAACCAAGAAGGCCCCATTTCCAGTGCCGATATCAAGAATGGCTGCATCCTCTGGGATCTTAGCTCTGTCCATCCATCGCAGGACACGACTCATGCTTTCTTCACCAAACCTTTAAAGAAAAAAATAAATAAATTGTTGGTGAATCCAATTATACTCACTGTTGTGTTAAATTCAAAACCAAAAACAAAGAAGGTTTTAAAAAATTCTATGTACTACATCAATATTTAAAAAAGAAAGCTGGAGTAATATTTAAAGTGGAGCTAAACATGAATAATCCCATAAAAGAAACTACAAAAACACCATCTTTTTTCATTTATACTAATCTATTCAGTGGCACTTCCTGATTTGTTGAAGGATGTGTCTTTATTAGGAAAGCACCTTTACCAAAAATCTGGGCTAACTATTTAAATATTGCAGCTATGGCCAAATATTGACATTTAGTGACACGTATTTGTCTACCCATTGATCACCATTAAAAATGGTGCTTCAGTTAAACACCTCATAATACTGCTCTGTTATCACCATCACTGCGACAAACCCAAACAAATGGAACGTCTGTACTCCTCCCAGAACACATGCTGCTGGCCCAGTTTGATTAAGGGACAGATACCAATATATTCAATAGAATGGCCGACACTGGACATTTTTATTCATTTATTTAAAATAAACTGGATGGTAAGTTAAAATGTTATAAAATGACTTTTCACTTGTATTTATAACTTTTCCAAGATTGTTCAAGGCAAGGTAACTTTAGTGTAAGAAATGTTTCAATTTAGTAGAAAACAATTTGATAAACTGAAAAGAAAAAAAATGGACCTTCAACAGGAAATAATTAGCCTAATTTTGTGTCAGACAATGAACAAAATAAAGGCTGTGTCCTTTCTGCAATTTATATCATACCTTTGGTTTCACATGTTAATTGAATAGACAATACTTTATAAATTTTATCTTTAAACCTGATGTTGTATTATAATAAAATGAGAGAAATTATTTTGTTTTCCTAGATTCACAATAGGGACATTTTGGGGTGAAAAATAAGTAGACAAAAGAGCTAAAAACCTTACACAGAAGAATGAGATTTCATTTTTAATGCTGGTGTAGAGCCCTAGAAATACATTAGCGTAAGAACGTGATAAAGTTAAAATTGATAGGCATAATTATTTTATTGTGCAAGCGTTTATTTGATTTAGTAGAGTTAGTACAATTAATTTGGTTTATGACAAATTATGTGCTCAAACTACTTTTTTTTAGCTTTTGTATTTCATACATTTATGTCATGATAATACCCCTTTAAGAGGACACGATGCATGATGGGAGAAGAAAGTTCATGACCTTTTATAAAAAAAGAAAACTATATAACTGCTGTATGCTCGAACCGTGGATTTATTTAAATAAAGTTGCACAAAAACGAAAATCTATTTGTTTTTTTAGTTCTTTTTAAGGGTGCAACATTTGTAAATTTTGAGGTCAGATGGGTTTTAGGAGCATCTTTGACGTTCCTGAAGCACGTCCAGTAAAGAGTGTACAGATGCTTCAGCTGCTCCTGTGTTCAATGGCAGAGAGCAGCTTTACTATAGTTGCTGTGATAAGTGGGTAAGAAGTAGTTTTAATATAAGTGAGAAAGTCCACCTCAAAGCATCGTATGCGCTTTCAGTTCATCAAGATTACGATCCTGCGTTAAAATATTATTTCGCTGTTGGAACATACCGACGGTGCGCTGTCACTGGAAATTGAGCAACAGCTGCCTCAGACCCAGTCCTCTCTTAAGAGTTTTTCACTACTGTTCATGGCGACTGGAAGAAGATTGTAAACTAATGTAGGCATTAATAAACTGTTTCAAGGGAGTGATTGTAGCACTCTACACAAGCAGGGCTGTCCGTCTCCCTGCCAGCTCAGAGATTAGCAAAAGTTCTAGTTTTTCCAACTCCAGCATCTGCTTCTTTTGCAGCGCGTATCGCGCCTCAGATGCTCAGAGACTCATGAGGCGCTGCTTCAGCTGCTCTGATGCACCAAGATGCACTGCTCGAGACGTGCTGCAGGACCTTCTCATGCACCTTGATGCGCATCAACCATACGCTTTGCATGTAAACCAGCTGGTTCTGCTGCTTGAATCGCGCCCGGGATGTATGTAGCATTAGAGATATGAAAAGAGCAAATTACATTTTAACTTTAGCTATTCAGTAAGAAAAAATAAACCTCTCAGAGAGGAAAGGGGATATAATGCAGCTATCAGAAAAGGCTTCTTTAGATGGAATAAAAAAGAACAAAAAAAATGTCTTACAGTTAACAGAACTGTAAAAAACAGAAGTATAAACATGAGAAATACATTATTTTTTTTATCTTGCTTTGCTAACAATAGCTTTTCACAGAGCATCTTAATTGGTAAAGTTGTTTTATGTATTCAGTAGTCTAGTTGTAAAAAAACAACAACAAAAAAACAGAAGGGGCATGGTGGAATTTTTTTATTTGGAAGCATTTATAACCCAATTAATATAGTCTTTTAACCTAAAGCAATATGAATGGTATGGTTGTTACATCGTAGGTACGCCGGTCATTGACCTTGACCAAGGCACCTTACAGCAGAACTGCAGTCAGTCCCTGGACTGGCATGGCTATCACTGCCCCTACATAGTTAGGGACTAATGCAGAGGACAAATTTCCCACTGGGATCAGCTTCATAGTCATGGTAGGACACTTCTTTGAGTTTCTGTATTTTGCTCAGGCTACTCATAATCCCACAGCCCGCGAAATGTTGAAAGGGCAATATTATTGCCATTACTGTTAATATATATAGCAGAAATTTTACACATTCGGTAATATAATGTAACAGGGGATGGTATGGGTGGATGATTTTTAAGACTTTTTTTAGGGATGCACTGGTCCAATATTTTTTTCGGTATCTGTCCAGATATAAGGAAAAAAAACTAGATCGGTATCGGTGACAATTGACTCGATATAGGGGCCGATCTATTCCTTCTAACTCTATGCTATGCTCTGCCGTCATGCGGCAGCGCAACAACAGAACACGGCCATATTAACTATTAACACTACCAACTTAAAGGAATAGTACACCCAAAACATGATTAGCCTTCATTTTCTACTCACCCCCATGCTGAACAACACCCTGGAGTACTTTTTTGATATCTCAAATGCATCTGGAGATCTAGGAGGCTTCTTGCTGTCTGCTGACATTCAAATAATGGAGGTCTATGGTGCCCGAGGCAGAAAGGTCCATAAAAGTCCACAAAAAACGTTTCAATATTCATCCATACTGCTCGTCCAATGTATTCCAAGTTTCCTGAGTGGGTAGCATCCAGAATTTACTCGAAACGAAGTCATTTAGAATGTTTTTAGAGCATAAACAGTAGTGTATAGGATTTCCTGAAAGCGCGCACATGCGCGATCACAACGCTACGGAAGCCGGCAGACCAAACCAGCGCATTCAGCTCGGCAAAGAACTCATGCTCTTCCTCAACACTGAAGTCCTCAGACATTTTTCTTTCGTTGTTTCTTTCTTTGCACAGGTAAACGGCACATTTCTTCTTCTACGCTTGCATTATCGGCAGAGCAGACGCTGAATGTGCACTTTCATCTGGTTTGGTCTGCCGGCTTCCGTAGCGTCGTGATCGCGCATGTGCGCGCTTTCCGGAAATCCTATACACTACTGTTTATGCTCTAAAAACATTCTAAATGACTTCGTTTCGAGTAAATTCTGGATGCTACCCACTCAGGACACTTGGAATACATTGGACGAGCAGTATGGAGGAATATTGACAAGTTTTTTGTGGACTTTTATGGACCTTTCTGTCTCGGGCACCATAGACCTCCATTATTTGAATGTCAGCAGACAGCAAGAAGCCTCCCAGATCTCCAGATGCATTTGAGATATCAAAAAAGTACTCCAGAGTGTTGTTCAGCATGGGGGTGAGTAGAAAATGAAGGCTAATCATGTTTTGGGTGTACTATTCCTTTAATGAAAGACCTCCAGAAGTTTCATAAGAAGGAACATGCTGAGATTATCGGACTCGGCAAACAAAAAGGAAGCAGCGGGAAGCACCTAACTTCTCGAAGCAAAGGAAAGAAGTAACATTTTTCCATGTAACAGTATACAGGCCAAAAAAGAAAATCATAGAGGTGATACATGATAATAATAATGACACTTTTTTTTTTTTTTTTACATGTTGACGAAGTCAGAGAGCTTTTGGTTTAAGATTTTGTGCACAGTTGTTAAATAAATGAGTCATAACATTTATATTTGGGTTATTTCCAATTTTTTTTTTTTTAAGAAAAGGGAAGTCAAATCATATGCACAGAAGAATGATCCCAGATTTTTTTTTTTTTTTTTTTTTTTTACACAATAAAACAATTTTTTAGCTAATAACTCAGTGTTGTTTTTGGTATCGTATCGGCCGACATTAAACTTCAAATATCGATATCGTATCGGAGGTGAAAAAAGTGGATCGGTGCATCCCTACTTTTTTTAATAATTGGGATCGCATCTTGAGTACTGATTGAATGTATTTAATAGGGACAATGTAAAAAAAAAAAAAAGAAAAAAATCAAGAGGCTTTGCACAAAGTGTAGTTTATCCTGGTTTCTATTTTTAGTAAATACAGATGGAAAATAAGTGGTTTTCCAAAGAACTTGAATATAGTTGGGTACAATTTTATGTTATTCCCAGATCCAAGCTCTGATCTTTAAGGTGCCACCAGCATTTGTTTCTGATTCACTTCAATTTGGACAAATTACCTCTTTTAGATAATTGCTGTTCCCTTTAGAGAAGTTTCTGATGAAAAAAGGATAAATATGCTTGCGCAGCTCCTGTTTTTAGCAGTCAATCCTAAATACCTCAACATCACAGTTTATCGTTTTGTGTTTACCTTTTTACTAACCCCTCTGTAATACTAAAACTTAAGACACATGGAAATATAATATCATAATTTTGTGGAAAAAAAAAACCCTCTCTATAAACATAGTGATCAGCACAAAAAGAAAAACATACCATATTTCCCCAATGTCTCCAATGTCTTTAAACGTCTCTAGTTCTTTTTGGTAGGCTTCCTCCCAACTGCAGAGTAAGAAAACTATTGAAAAAATGGAAACAAATACTCAAGACAATCTGTTGCATTATATACACATTAAAAAACTGGATGCAATTACATCATAAACAAGAGGATAAAACGGCCGTTTGTGAGCATGCTTAGGCTAAAAATAAATCAACACATAAATGCAGATGTTTAAGTTTCCTTTAGAAACTGGCAAAGGTTGAAACTTTGCTCTCTATGTGACAAACAGGCAGTTCTCTGAACTAATAGCATGCAGATATCTGCTAACTGACACGTTGAGTCGCCAACATGAACCATTGCGCAAACATTTGGACAATCGACACTTACTATTCTTTGGTCCCGAGTTTTGACGTTTCAAAATCATTATCAGAGCATTTATCTTCGTTTTCACAACCATGTGACTCCTCACTGGTGTCTGCCATGCTGCTGCAGCTTTACACTACTGCCAAGCCTACGTTTCTTCTTCTTTGTTTTCGATGGCGGTTGGAAAGCAACTTATTGATACGCATTACCGCCATCTCCTGGAATGGTGTGGATCGGGATGCTATATATAAATTCTCCCACAAAAAAAATAAATAAAAATAAATAAATAAATAAATAAATAAATAAATAAATAAATAAATAAATAAATAAATAAATAAATAAATAAATAAAAATAAAATTATAATAATTAAGTTGATAAATCTTATATTCTTTCTATCAATTTCGTTTTCTTAAGGTAATTAATTAAGTAAAAAAATATTTAATAGTAGAATTTTTTTCCAAAATATCTTGTATATTTAATTGCAATTTATTTTCTTGTAATCGACTAACTAATTCCCTTCTCTCAACAGAATATTTAGAACAGACTAACAAAACATGTTTTACTTTCTCTTCTTGAAAACAAAACTCACAATTTCCCTTTGGATATTTTCCCATTTTAAATAATGTACTATTTAACCTTGTATGATCAAAACGTCATTTGGATATAACGCTTTTCATTTCTGTGTCTTCCTGTTCTCACCTGGCGGAGACCGATACTGTAAAGCCACCAAGCCTACATTTCCCATAAGGAAGTGCGTGAAATGAGCGTATCCGCGACCGTAGGGGGCATTGGATTGATAGGGATGTTTCCATCATGGCGGCATCCATTTCAGGTTACACTTTTAGTTCTGTGTGTTATCACAGCGCCAACAGCAACTCAGATCATGTAAGTACTCAGAAGATAATCCCAGAGGGTCGCGGTTTAGTGCTCGAATGTGTCTTCGTAGTCTGGTGACGCGTATTATTGCTTATGTTGCCTTTAGTCTGTGTTGTTTTCCAGTGTCATTCTGGTTCCGTCTATCTACCGGCTGGTTTTCTCTGCTTTAAATTGTAGATAAGAATTGTCAGTCTTGGGAGGATTTAATGCATAACATTAAATAGTATTCCACATATATGGAGTCAAGTATTGGACATTATCTATATAGACACCTGCTTTATCGCTTTGGACTCCTAACGGAAAAGGGAAAGGTTAAGATCCAGGAAATATCCTGTAGTTAGCTACTTAGCATGAGAACCAAAGTCAGCTCACTTCCGTGTATCGATATAATTATCTGAACCTACTTCGCACTTTATTTCTTAAAAAGAAGAGTGCGTTATTAAAATAAAAGGTTACATAATAGCATTTTAAAACAGTAAGAGCAAAAAAGTAAAGCATCAGGCTATGTTTTCTTGTCTCCTTTTAGCTTAGCATGGTTAGCTTGTTAGCTAGTTCGTTTTTACACTACTTTTTTTATATACCTATAAACAATAAATAAATCTCGCTCTGCTTTCTGTATTTTGTTGATTTAAAGTGGTTGATAAAAAAAAACCCTAATTGTCTAAGAGTTAACGTAAAAAAACAACTTTTAATGAGAATGTTAGCACAACAATTTTAGCTCCAGTGTTTACAATATGAGACTTAAAAAGTCGGCCTTGATAGCTGGTTTGTTCATGCCAGTCAAGGTACAAGTTTAACTGCATTCCTAAAATAAAAATTATTAGCTTTCAACCTAGTATAGTAAAGCACATTTGATATTAAAATCTAATGTATTGTCTCACCATTCTCTGCATTAAATTCCAACCTCTAAAATATTTTATCCACTTGGACTTTTAAACATTTAAACAAAGTATATTATGGATGCTTGTATTGATTTTTATGCAATGGAGGAGTAAAAAGTAGTGCAATGAAAAGAAACATAGACTCTGTTTTTATAAATATATATATATATATATATATATATATATATATATATATATATATATATATATATATATATATTAATTAAAGAAAAAAAAGGTGTGCCCTGCATTTCTACTCATTCACCTCAGTCTGTTATTTTAAAGCAAGGGTGCTCAAATCCAGTCCTCAAGAGCTACCTTCCTGTAACTTTTAGATGCAGCTCTTCTCTAACACACCTGAATCGACAACCTCAATCCCCTCATTTAGCTCAGCGGAGACATGGTAACGAGCCACTCATTTGATTCAGGTGTGTTAAAAAGTTGCAGGATAGTAGCTCTTGAGGACTGGACTTGAGCACCCCTGTTTTAAAGCAACCTTTTTCTACAGCAGCAGGTCTCTGGGATATGTTGGTAATGCTTGTATATATGGAGAAACAACTTTTTTGTTTTACCTCCCATTCTTTTTTGAAAAATAACTTAAACTAAATGAGATGGAGAGCTTTGGTGAACAATGATTTCAAGTAGTACCAAATGTTTTAGTTGGATTTAGGGCTTTGAGTGGAAAACTGTTGTTAATGCTGGAAGTAAAGCATTTGCATCAGCCTCAAGTGTTTTTATTTTATTATTTACTTTAGGTTTTTAAAGGGTTTTCTTGTATATCATCTTCTATCTTTTGCTCCTCATTCACCATCATCCTTGATCCCACTGAAAAAAAAAACTCATCCCAAAAGCATGATTGTGTCACCCTCATGCATGACAGTGGGCTATAACCCAGTTTTCCATCATGTCAGATGCCAAATTATATCGGGTGTGTTCTAGCCTTTATTTTTCCACCATCTTGCATCATTCATCCATTTTATTCAGGTGATAATTGAAAGTTGCTTGAAGGTGGCTCTTCAGGACTGGAGTTTGCTACCTTTTAGTTTAATCTTTTACCTTTCAGTCTTGTTCTATGGTGCACTATTCTTAACAAGCTACAACAGAAAGAAAATTCTTTCCTCAGATGGTCACATGATCGTTAAACAGATCGGCCAGAATAATATCATTATTTGCACAAGTTAAAACTTATTTGTCTATAGAGTAACAACAATACATATACATATGTTTTATTTCCATTCTTATATATTCAGTTTCCTAACACAGCTTGTGACAAACTGCACTTGTTAATCCAATTTTTTAGTTTTATCCTCATCTCATCTGACCTGCTTGGTCTGCTCCTTGATCCTTATGATGCTGTTTGTTCACCAATGTTCTCTAAAAAAAATTGAATGTACAATGTTCTTTAATGGAAGGGTATGTAGAATTTCAAGCACAACTGTATGTGTGCATATATAGGGTGTATATTAATGTGTGAGGTAACAAATTCAAGCGCTGCATAAAAATGTGGTTAAATAAAGGGGTTAGTGTGCTTTCACAGGACTCGGTGTGAATTTGACTGTAAAGTGATTAATGATTGCTTTAAATGAGAAGGAACATTACTTAATGACTTCTTTAGTGTTAACCTGAATTCGTTTTTTTTATTATTTAACTTGTGCTGCAACTTTGTTTAGTTTTGCATATTGTTATGGTCCGGCTCTTAAACCATAACAAATGAAAGGGAAGCAACGCTAGGGATAACTTAAAGAGGGAATTTATTTAACAAAAATCATAACTGGTTGGGGAAGAAAGAGAGAAGGGGGAGAGAGTGGCAGGGAGACAGAAAGAAAATAAGGGACTTAGTCAAAGAAAGTGGTACATCTTAAAGTGGATCTGACGTCATCTGGAGACACTGGCCAGCTGCCTCCACTTCCAATCAGCACCAATTAAGGAGTCCAAAACATGGAGGTTAGAGACCCAGAGGAAAAGGCCTTGGGCCGTAACACCCCCCCTCTTCAAAACAGGGTCCCCACTGGAACCCTGGGCAACCTGTACAATAACATCTGGAAAAAAAAGAAAAACAAAATTAAGTGCACTAACAATATCTCAGACCAGCTGAAATAAAACAAAAACTTAAATCCTCTCCGACCCCATCCATAACTCAACGACAGGTACCTTGAAGTGACTATTAGACAGGTAAGGAGAGAAAAAAAACAAAAACAAATTACTGACTTGGTGCTCTTGATAACGCATCTGCAATGACATTATCCTTCCCCTTGATATGATAAATATCTAAGGAAAAAGACTGCAGAAACAATGACCATCTCACAAGTCTTTGATTTGGACAACGAAAAGAATTCAAGAAGGTCAAAGGATTGTGATCTGTAAAAACAGTTAGAGGCCCTGAACCCACATAGACCTCAAAATGCTGTAAAGACCAAATAAGAGCAAGGATCTCTTTTTCAATGACTGAATAATTCAGCTGATGCTTGTTAAATTTCTTAGAAAAAAAAACTCACAGGTCTTTCAATTGAAAAGCCATCCTGTTGCAAAAGAACCCCCCCTGCACCAACATGACTGGCATCAACCTGGAGCTGAAAAGGCTTAGTCATATCAGGAGCTAACAAGACAGGAGAATTGCATAGCATCATCTTAACATCTTCAAAAGCCTGCTGACAGACAGAGGACCAAATGTATTTCACATTGTTTTTCAAAAGGTCTGTCAGAGGTGCAACCACAGTTGAAAAGTTTCGGCAGAAAGCTCTATAGTATCCCACTAAACCCAAGAATTTCATGAGTTCCTTTTTAGTCGTTGGTACTGGATATTTTTCAATCGCTTCAACTTTTGCACTAACTGGACGTACTTTACCTTGACCCACTTGATGACCAAGATAAGTAACAGTCGCTTGAGCAAAGTCACATTTGGTCAGATTCACTGTCAAACGTGCATCGCGCAAACGGTCAAACAAAGCAGTGAGTCGTTCCATGTGAGAAGACCAACTATCAGAATAGACGACAACGTCATCCAAATAGACCGAACAGCCTTCTAAACCCCCAACAACTTTATTCATCAAGCGTTGAAAAGTCGCTGGCGCGTTTCTCAAGCCAAAAGGCATAACATTGTATGAATATAAGCCACTTGGTGTAATAAAAGCCGAAATTTCCTGTGCCCTTTTAGTTAAAGGGACCTGCCAATAACCTTTTAACAGGTCTATCTTACTAATGAATTTAGCATTACCAATCTGGTCAATGCAATCATCCATACGAGGTAGAGGATACGAATCAGGTTTGGTTACGCTATTGACTTTCCTAAAATCGGAACAAAATCTATAGGTTTTGTCCGATTTTGGAACCAGCAAGCAAGGTGAAGACCAGCTTGAACATGATGCTTGAGCGATGCCATTTTTTAACATGTAGTCAACCTCAGCATCCAGATGTTTACGTTTCTCTGGGTTAACCCTGTAAAACTGCTGTTTTATGGGTTGTACATCACCCACCTCAATATCATGTTCGATCAGGTGCGTGCAGGATGGGACGTCTGCAAATAAACCAGAATGGGATTTTATCAACTGAATCAACTCAAAGCGTTGAGATTCTGACAAATAACTTAGTACAGTATCTATGCTGTCCAATACTTCGGAATTCTTGAGTCGACCAGTTAACATGGCTGAATCTGGAACAGACAACCCATCACCACTCCCTTCATCACCAGCACATGTCACTGTTTCAGCAATGCACACAGGGTGAACTTCATCCACCAAGACATTATCAGCACGAGCATGATAAGGTTTCAATAAGTTGACATGAAGCATTCGCCGTTTCTTCCGCCTTTCTGGAGTTGCAATGAGATAGTTTTGGTCAGACAGCCGTTTCAAAACTGTGTGCGGACCAGAAAATTTGGCCTGAAATGGCGAAGTCACAACAGGAAGTAAAGCCATTACTTGATCACCTGAAATGAAAACACGATGTTCAGCTTTCCTATCATACAAACGCTTCATCTTTTCCTGTGCAGATGATAGTTTCTCTTTTGCCAACTGAGTAGCAGTAAAGAGTCTCTGCTTAAACCCATTAACATAATCCAACAGGTTTTGTGGTGGTTCAGCATCCTGGCACTCATCTTTCAAAACTTTTAACGGACCACGCACAGTATGA